TCTCTGTCTGTCTGGCAAGCACATGCACCCTATAGCAAAAACCTCTCCAAAAAAATTTTTGGTTATATATTCCAGGAGTGGACCAAGAGTGGAGAGGTCTCATTTTTTACTTCTTTTTGTTGTCAAAGGGCACATGCCCTTGCTGGAGAGAGACAGAGAGAGGGGGAAAGTGAGAAATCACCTCCCAGGAAGGATGGCCACACCACAGTCCTTTTTCTTCCATTCTCTTCCTGGGATTTTGAGCACGCATGCACACATATCCAGTGCAATTTTCTTTCTTTCTTTCTTTTTTTTTTTTGCTATAGGGTGCATGCGCTTGCCAGAAAGACAGAGAGACAGAAAGACAGAGAGACAAAAAACTACCCCCAAGGGGGGATAGCCACGCCGCAATCCCTTCTCCTTCATTCTCCTCTCAGGATCCTGGGCATGCACGCACATGCACTTGGCGTGAGTTTAAGCTACTAGGTCCGAGACTTGAACTGCGATTGACCAAATGGGAGTCCAGCGACATAGCCATTACACCAACTGCTGGTCCAGCGTAATTTTCTTTTTTTGGGGGGGAGAGGTTTTTGCTATAGGGCGCGTGCGCTCGCTCATGGCTCCGGCAGGGCAGGGTGTTGCGCTAAGCTTGCCACAAGTTGCGCTTCTCCTAAAGCTCTGATGAATAAATAAATGACCTGGGGGTTGGCAAGTGGCACGGAAGTTGGGGTGCTGGACTCCTACTTGGCTGACCACAGTTTGAGTCCTGGATCTGGCAGCTTGTTTTCTCATTTTCTCTCTTTCTCTGTTTCCCCATCTATTTTTTGTTTGTTTGTTTGAGAAGTTTTTTTGTTATAAGGTGCGTGTGCTCGCCAGAAAGACAGAGACAGAGAGACAGAAAGTGAGAAATCACCCCCCAGGGGGAATGGCCATGCCGTAATCCCTTCTCCTCCGTTCTCCTCTTGGGATCTTGGGCACGCACGCACACATGCCCGGCATGAGTTTAAACTACCGGGTCCGGGACTCGAACCGCGGTCGACTACATGGGAGTCCAGCGACATAGCCATTACACTAACTGCTGGTCTCTGTTTCCCCGTCTTAAAAGTGGGTGTACAATTAACATAGCAGATCTGAGACTACTGTCCTTCAGAAGGTCTACTTATAAAGTTGGCTCTAGGCTGGCATTAGGGGACTTAGAAGGGTCCCTGACATTCCCTCGCTGACAGGAGCCGCGCACTGTGCCTATGTGGTTTGCACAACGCGGTCTGCTCACGTTGTCCCCCACAGAGGACGGTTTCTCATTGTCTGTCTCTCCAGTGAGTGCATGTATCCTATAGCAAAAATATCTCTCTCTCAAAAAAAAAGTGAGATATTATGGATAAAAATATATAAAACACCGAGTGACTGGCACACCATAGATGTTCAACAGAAAGTTTGTGGCCACCATGGTTAGTTCCCACCCCCCAGGGGGATGGCCACACTGCAATCCCTTCTCGTCCATTCTCCTCTTGGGATTTTGGACACGCATGCACATGCATGCACCCAGCGTGAGTTTCAAGCCGTAGGATCTGAGACCTGAACGGCGGTCGACCACGTGGGAGTCCAGCACCTCAACCACTGGACTTCAAAGCCGTAGGATCTGAGACCTGAACGGCGGTCGACCACATGGGAGTCCAGCACCTCAACCACTGGGCCATTTGCTCCCCTCGTTTGAGGGGAGGCTGAGTGAGTTGGGGGCCCAGTGGGCTCAGAAGCCGTCCTCACTTTCCCACCAGAGGACATATCAGTGGTGTTCAGCACGACCTCCTGGGAAGGCCGGGCTGACTTCTCCCAGGCCGACGTGCACCGCCAGATTGCCATCGTGTTCAAGACGCCGCCCTACGAGGACCTGGAGATCGTCGATCCTGTGACAGTCAACATCTTCCTG